CAGGGCTGCTCTCCATCCATTCTCCGCCCAATCAGTACTTGTGTTCTTGCACTGTGTCGTGGGAAAGTGGTTTTCAGCGGAAGATCTCACACACGTTGTTCATAGCTCTAAAACCAGCCTGTCCACCAGGCTGTGAGTACAGATGGGGCTGGAGGAGCGCTGGGTGGGGGCTGCTGCTGGTTTCCCCCTCATTTCGGTGCAGAAACTCCCCTTAACCCCAGCCCCTCAGCCTTTCCCTTTCTCTCTCCAGCCTGGAATAGTGTCTCCTTTCAAACGAGTCTTCCTGAAGGGTGAAAAAGGTCGGGATAAAAAAGCCCAGGAGAAGGTGACGGAGAGACGGCCTCTGCACACGGTGGTGGTGTCCCTTCCTGACCGCGTCGAACCAGATGTGCTGCTCAATGACTACATCGAGAAAGAAGTGAAGGTACCGTCTGCCCGGCTGGGGCTGGGGCTCGTAGAGACCTTATAGGTGTGAGGGAACTTCCATGCTTCCAGAACTTCCAGGGGTATTTAGCAGCTTCTGACGCACTGATGTGGGGCACCAGCCCGTTGCTCTGTGTTGACGGTGTCTTTCTTGCAGTAGGTGGCGTGTTCGGGGCTGCGCTTAGCTTGCACGTGACGTGGTAAGGGTTTGGTTCTTCTTTTCCAGTATTTAGGTCAACTCACATCCATCCCAGGGTACCTGAACCCCTCCAGCCGCACGGAAATCCTGCATTTGATCGATAACGCAAAGGTGAGCGCTCGTCCCGTTGAATGACCCGCTCTGTGTAGTCTCTAACATGCACAGTGTGGAAAAAAAAGGATTTATAGAGCTTCCTCAGGGCTGGGTCCTGGCCTGACTGATGTCCTCCAACCCCTGGGAGGGAAGCCCATTACCAGACTGTTAGCAACGAAGAAAGAGTTCAGTAAATTAATAGAAATATGTTTATTTTAGAGAGCACACCAGCTCCCGGGGCAGCTGACCCAAGAACACGATGCTGTCATCAGTCTCTCCGCCTACAACATCAAGCTGGTGTGGAGGGATGGAGAAGATCTCATCCTCAGGGTCCCCATCCATGACATCGCGTCTGTTTCCTACATCCGAGATGACTCCTCTCACTTGGTCGTGCTGAAGACAGGTAGGTTGTGGCCAGCACGGGGTGGGGCTGTGGCCTTGTGTTTTGGGGTTACTGTGTGTTTTGGGGTTGTGGGGCAGAGCCCGACAGCAGCCAGTATTGTCCTGGTGTGAGATGGCAGCCAGCTTGACCAAAAACAGGACAAAGTTCCGTGGCAGGGGGGTTGGAACTGGATGATCTTTGAGGTCTCTCCCAACCCAAACCGTTCTGGGATTCTATGAAAGGCAATGCTGGGTAAGAATAGACCAAAATAATTGGTCTCCTTCATAGAATCCTAGAATCCAAGAATGGTTTGGGTTGGAAGGGA